TTGGGGAACTCAGCCTCCGGGATCCTTGTACCGGACGGAATCGGCTTGCCCGAGTCGTTGTATTCGCAAATCGGGCGAAGGTCCTCATTGAGGAGATTGGAGACGTCTTTTGAGCTGTTCCCGATCGCCTTTGACTCCGCGGTAACAATCGCTCACTTTCGGAGACTCTGATCTCCGTACTGCCAATTTTTGTCTCTCGCTGCTGCTGTTGCCATCCTAAGCCCCCTTTGGCGCTCTCTGTGACCTTCTGCCTTGGCTGCTCCGTCGTTCTGTCTCCCAGACGGCAGACTCTTACGACTCGACTTCGGAGATTGCTTCCATATCCACTGTGCATTGTCAACTGTTCAATCATTCGACTTCTCTTTTCTCTCCGTGCTCCGGCTCATCTTCGGCCTTTCGAGTTCCAAACAGTCGATTTCGGAACTCAGGACTACGAGGTCATTTCAACACCGCGGCCGAACGGGCAATTGCCGGCACTTCTCTCTTCCTTGTTTCGTCTATTTTTATTCTGATCCTGCAAGAGTGTAAGAAGCTTGCCTCAGCCTTACCGAGAAAGTGGGTCAAGCATTTGCAAAACCTTCGATAGCCTAAGAAATGAGCGTCCGCTGATCCGCTTAGCCATGAATTAGTTTGTTAGCTCGTCCGCAGAGGGATACCTCTGTTAGGCCGCCGAATACACGGCGGTGTAAGGCGAACTCGCCCTTCTGAATTCGCGATATCCCGTCGAAAACAACGTCTTCAGCGTCCTCGCGTCGGCACGCATTCCAGGGTTGAGCCCTTCCCCGCAATGGAGGACTGAATCTCCTTTAAAACACTCGATGGGGACGTGGGGAGAAGGTTGGGACCATTTCAGGACGGACCCCTTCATAACGTATCAGTTCCTCTGGGATGAAAAGCAGGCAATCCGAGAATAAGGTGGGTTTGCCCCTCTCGCAAGCAGTGAAACAACATTGTCGACGATTGCCTGACGACGATCGCCCTTTCCAAAGTTCGCTGCCAATCGCACGTGAGGGACACTACGAGTCACGCACAGTGTTCCTCTCTGTGTTGTTTTCATCGACTTGCATCTCAACGTTCGATTCGAAATCGTTCGACGACTTCGTCTCATCCGCTGGAGACCTTCTGGTTTTGTGGGTAGTTCTTATTGCCCCCCAACACTGCGATTACGGGGTGAAGAGGAGGATTATTTCGGTGTTTTTGAAACGTGAGTTAAATGTATGCGTGCATACGAATTCCCTCAAACTCGTCGTTTGTCCGATATTTGCTCCCGTGCCTGACGTCGACGAGCTGGTGGGCCATGAACGAAGTGAGTGGAGAGTCCCTGCTATGAACCGCGTTCAGCTGAGTTACGCTTCAAACATACACGAACTGGGTCGCGGGCCCTCGCGAAAACACATGAGAGCTCTCAACTTCGAACTCAAGTTTATACCCCGGAGAATTGAGGGGGGAATCGCTCCTCACATTCGCGCATCATTGGTCTACGCAGGCTTCGGTCTCCTAGGATACTTCCAGACTCGTTTCATCTGTACATCAGAGCCCGCGAGGCGAAAACATGTCTGTGTTCTTTTGCTACGTGTCTAATCGATATGTAGATCGTTCCGCGGAGCGCAAGCGAGAAACGCGACTCCGGGGCTTATATGTATTCAGCAAGCTGCTCCGCTCGATGCATATTTCGCGACAGAAAAAGACTGCTCCCTTCCTTCTGATTCTACATAGTGTCGACACATTCGCGTCGACGCCTCGAATTCGCGCAGTAATAAATCTCCGAGCGTGCACCCGAGTACTCATCAGACGAGGACTTCTCGGATCTCCTTATTCTAAAAGCTTGTGGGCTAATCGATAATCGGTCTGGGAATACTTCGCAATAATTGTAGCCGGAATTTTCGCTGCCCTGTTCCTCCGAAGATGCAGAATTCGCGATTCCGCAAGATTCCGATTTCTGCTTGAGTATCGTGCGGGTCGTGTTTCTCTCCGGGAACTAGATGTTATTTTTTCCGCTCTCTCGATTCCAATTCCCGGTCGTCAACTAGTAGTTCTGGTGAGCAGAAAAACGAACAAGATCGCGCCTGTTGCTCGGCTCATAGCTTCCACGTAGGCGTGAACAAATAGATTTTCCCATCTCCGAGATTCCCCCCGCATCGCGCCACTGATATGGGAAATGTCCCTCCCGGAGAGAAAGTCTCTCCCGTTTTGCTCAAGGTCATGGAGGACGACGTTGTAATAACAGCGAGTCTTAGAGCCACGTTAGGTATATAAAACAGAAGATCGGTGCGGATCCTCCAAGGTCCCTGAGCGAGCAAATCAGCAATTCCACTTTGTTCCGCTGATTGGCGCTCTCCAGGAAGTTCCGTTCATGAAAATTAGTCTCGTGCGTCAGTCAACTCGCTTTATGAGAGTGGTTTATGCGGCGCGATCGGACTGGAGCTGGAGGTTTTCATTGCTCGAGCCACTTCATTCAACTGCGGGCGTCGGTTCACGCATTGGCTGCTGTTGGTGATGACCGAAATGACAGCGACGACTACGTCGAGGAGAAAGACGACGACACCACCACCACCTCCCTCGCAGAATCACGCGAGGCGTACCGCTGACATTCCCCGTAGGCGTGTCCAGCTGCGTTAGGATGCAATAGACGATCGAGCATGGCAGGCGGAGGGTGGGTTGGACGGACCGACGGACGGGCGGCGTTTCCTCAAAGGTGGTGCATCACGTTCATCATCACCCTGGAAATCCCTTCGTACTCCGGGCCTAGGATCGGGTGCTCGTGACTCGTAAACAGGAACGCTGTGTTGGTGTCGGTCATTCCAAGCACTATCATTCCTCGAGTCGGTTTCCCCCCGGGTTATGAGTTGAGTGGTAATTTTTGTCTCAGCCCGAGCCGTCGCAAAACCCGGCTGTATGAGCCTAAAATGTGCTTGTCGTCTGTGTGCGTCGCATCCGGCTGTGTATGTGAGCGGGCAGCCAGCGGAAACGGTCCGCTAGCACTACATACATCCAGCGGCTTATCTCAGCTGCCAGCTTCCGGATAACAACATGATGCTGCTCCCCATGGCGCCGCTGGCCTTGTTGTTGCAAACTAGGACGGACCAGCTTCTGTGCTCGGAGTTAACCCGTGTGTTTCGACTTGGAGTCCACGTATTTCGTGAAACTGTGAAGCTATATCCGCTATGTGGCCATTCCGTCGGAGTGCGCGCAGCTTCTTCCACGAATGGCCGTCGAGAGCCTCCCGACGTCGACGACGTCATCGAGACATGATAGCCAGTCGCGGCGGATCGAAGGGGAGAAGCCAAAAAGAGAAACTAGGTGGAGTCTGTCTAGCTGTAATGGCAGTCAGCGGGCCCGCCAGGAAGTCAGCGAACCCATCCGTGAGGCTCGAGCGAAAAGCTTCGAAAAGGTCATCGACAAGCTTTACTTTCCACCCTTGGAGTGGCTGCGGTAGAATTCGCTCCAGGAGCCTCTCTTGCCGGAGAGACGCGATCTGCTTATTCATCTACAGCCCCCGTGGCGAGTCCACCTCACGAGGTTTCGAGGTGCGATCCCGCCCCGCTGTTCCGTAGACTTCTCCCAAACGTAGACTTCGAGGGGACGCGTTTCCTGAACTCCTCCGGAGTACGTGTGCGACTCTGCGTGAAACTCGGGATGGGTTCTCGGCTTTGGGGTCAGAGCTGCTCTGAACTGGGAACGATCGCGGTTTCCCGCCGGAGTATTCGTGCTCGGGGAACGTAGATTTTCCATCGGGTCGGACGAGGAAGCTCTTATTTCACGTCGATTTCTACGACTCGATGTACTTTCGCTTCGATGCACTTGTGTTCACCTTTGGGCCGCCAGCAGGCTGATTGTAAATCGTTGAGTGCCGTCCACACTCCCATCGGTCAGTCGGTCGTCGGTCTGTCAGTCAGTCAGACCGCTCTTCCGCCTCTGCCGAGTTTGCCGCCCATTCCGGCCGGGAATAATCCCTCGTCCCCTGACGCGGAATGCTTTGTCTAGCCGTCAGGGCTTGAAGAGTCGTACGTTTGTATGGCCCGGTGGAACTTGAACGGGCTAGGCATGGAATTTTCTTCCGGATCGGGTTCACTCATATCGGAATCTCCGAAATTAGATTCCTGCACCGCTCTCAGAGCCCTGGAATGAATCACTGGAGCGTCAGCGGTGCGGTTTTCCATTGAAAATATTGATCGTGTCTGGCTTTCGCGAGGTAAATCAGTCGGGTTGACATTCAAGCTGAATTCGTCGAGAGGTCGTTTCCCTAGAACAATACGACCCGAATCCACGATATCAACCCGCGCTGAGGTTACCCGGGCGTCGCGGAGTACACGGAAATTCCAAATCCAGAAGCCAGGGGAAGAAAGGATAAACATCGAGATTCGAGGATACCCCATTCCATCGGGAAAAGTGGTCTTCTCTTGAAGCGCTTGACTCAGATGTTAGGCCGAACCCCAGGAAAGCGTGGTACTCGAGGACACGGAGCTCTTTCGACTGCAGTTCTCAAGAAATGAAAGTCAACGCTACGGTTTCGAACAGCGGAAGCCAAGTATTCGGGTTTAATGACTTCAAGCCGACCTAGAAGCTCCGACTTGCTGCAGTTGACCCTAGCTCATGATACGGTCGAGCGAACAATCGGGGTCAGAAGCCATTTGAGTCGACCTTGAGATTTCCGTTCCTGGGAGACTTCCGCGGAGTTTCAGCTCCAAGAGCCCTCGTCCAAGGTATCTGACACCAAATCCACGTCCGGGCTCCTTCGAGGCGGTTTTCCACCCAGTGGAACCGGGAAGATGGACATCGGCTTTCCGAGTGTGATATTCCGACTCTTGTACTCCGAATTTTTCGATCTCTGATACAGTGATTTCTGACCCGTCGATTCGGACTGCTGCTCCAGTTAGCAAGCTATACCTGATCCAATTATCCGAAGAATACTGATTTCAGATTCGTCATTAAAGGCTTAAGCCATAAATCGCACTTTACAGGTGGTGATCTGACAGGGCAGCTGCCATCATACGATCAAAATGAGCACACGAGGGCGTCCTGTGGATTTCCGTTCGGAGTGCATTCTGACACCGAGTTCCAAGAGGCGCGAATCTAATCGCAAGCTCAGCGTTCTATCGCGTCTTTCGATGTTGCAGTCAAAGCGGCAGGTGGCCAAAGCGGTCGTCTGCTTGGGTCTTGCATTTCTGATGCTGTACATAATGCAGGTGAGTGCTGAAGTCTGAAGGAATATCACATCCATATGGAATCGTCTCTTCCCCACAACATGAGGTCACGTTCTCCGTGCGACCGTTCTCCCTTACGTCGGTTCGTCCGTCCGACTTGGACTTGACGACGCAGTCCCATCTGGAGATGATAATCAAATTGTATCGCAACTCCCTCGCTCACGTTTTCATTGAAGACATTCTTTTTCTTCTATCGTATCGGCGGGAAATTGAAAGCCGCGGAGCTGATGATTGGCTACAATCGCCGCGATCTGAGACTGATCGAACGCTCGGCGTTTTCCCTTATCGGTCTTCATTTGAATCTCCTCTAACTTTCAATCGTGAGGAGCGCGGTTCTTCCGGGAGTATAACCTACGTTTCATAGACTCCCCTGTGACGCGTCTCCTGGCGTGGAATCAGGGCAATCAGGAGCATCGTGGCTCGCGTCGTCTGGCCTTGCTTCTGGGGTTAAGAAGAAGCGCCTCTCTTTGGAATGATGCATTCCAAAGCGGCGCAAGAGCAGCATATCTCCCCTCTCCAGCATCTCAGTCCCAGGTGGCAGCAAATGCGGGTTACGTGACCATGTCTGCTGGTTCCGGGGACGAAGCCTCCACTCCGATTCCTTGATGGAAGACGTCCTGTCGAAATCGACTAGGCCGAGATTCGTTTCTCTGTTTCCCTCCCTGCTCCGACCTCTTCCCCTCTCCCGAGGAATCGATATTTCCATCCTGATCCTCGAGCTCGATATATGTACATAATATATACCCGTCTAGACGTCCACCATACGGACGCCGGCTGAAGACACACTGAAAAACGTATTTGTCCTCTCGATTTTGCAGGTGACAATCTCGTTCCTGAAGCATTCAAGCGGACTGGGAGCAGCAGTTTTCCTTAGCACGGTGATCGCTTCGTTAGTATTCCTGCCAGCGGATCCCTTCTATCCAGCGTTCAAATACGGCTGGCGTCTCTTCACCGGCATGATGATTTTCTGCATTCTATGCAATATCTATGCTCTCTTGTTCATCCATGACGTGGACACGTACACAAAGGAGATCCATAGACTGTTCCCTCAGAGCAAGCAGATCGTCAACTCGCGAACCGAGTACGGCGTCGACTGCGACCCACTGACGTGGCAGAAAATCTACGCCCATTTGGACATTTTCGCCGTCGCTCACTTGGTAGGATGCGCGTTCAAAGCGGTCATATTCCGTCAGTACGAAATTCTCTGGATCTACAGCATCATCTGGGAGATCACCGAGTACTGTTTCGTACATCTCTTGCCAAACTTCGCCGAATGCTGGTGGGACCGCGTGCTGCTCGACGTGCTCATATGCAACGGACTCGGCTATTACATCGGAATCCAGTTCTGCAAGATGAACGGCATCCAGATGTACGACTGGCATTCGCGAGAGGTCACCAACAAAATCCGAAGCGTCCTTGGCCTGAGCGTCGAGGACGGTCACGGCTCTCCTCCGGCAACGATCAAGCAGCCGCAGGTCGTCGGCTCCACGCCGCCTCCGCCGATGGGCGCGACGACTTCAATACAGCCCGAGTCGAAAGCATCGCGGATATCGTCCGACGGTCGACTGTCGTTATTTTCGGCGATATCATTGGGTTTCTTCGTGGGCCAAACGTCGGAACTCAATACGTTTCTGTACAAACATTACTTCGGCATACCCCCGCACACTCATCTCATGGCGGCCCGGACGACGTTCAGCGCAGTTCTGCCGATCCCGTTCATTGCCAACCTATACGCCATGACACAGAACGCCCAACAGCCATTCACGTTACACTCGAAACTCGTGCTGCTGATCACATTTACCGACACGTTGTTCTCGGCTAAATTCGGCATGTTCACCTTCGCCTACCTCGATCTATCGATGGTGGCACTGTGGATCGTTTCGATTGTTTGTTTGAGTTACGTCTGCATAGCGGCCAGGAGTGTCCGCGCCGTAGTCGTCACGTGTCTACCGGCGGGATCGGGTCAGCCGGCCGGCTCGCCGCCGGTCCCCTCGACGACCTCGCACTGTGAAGATCCGGCCCGTTTCCGGCCTTGCCTCACTTGAGCTCGATCAATGAGTTCGCTACTCATAATGCTTAGGAGTGAATGAGAGAGCCGGACAGACGAATCGAGGCGCTCGCCGGACGGAATTCAGACGTCGACGAACATCGACGGAGACGGGTTGCGAGAGCGGTGAGCCGAGTTTCTCCCGCAGGTCAGACGCTCGCTCGGGCATCGACCGGGATTTTCGTCGTCGCGTCGGCACTCCTCAGCAGGCGGGAGAGTTCTCCCTATAAAAATTCGTCGATGAGGAGCTCAGGCGGCCGGACAGACGGACGAACGGAGGACTAGTTCGTAGATTCGCTCGAGAAGCGGTTCGGTAGATAGCGCAATAGTGAGAGAAATTCGGGGAAGATGAAAAGCGAAAGAGTTCGGAGCGTGGAAAAGGAAGGGAAACCGGAAGAGTCATCCCGCCATCGAGAGAAAATGATCCTTTCCATCGAATGCAATTTTATCAACTCCTTTTGGTGCATATAAAACTGTACATAGAATCTGTCGCCTCAATATCAACAACCCTACCGAAGTACCAACGCCTGCAACAACAAACCAAAAGAACCAAGCCAATAGGAAAGCTGACAAAGTCGCCACATGCAATCACTCAACTCACTCACACATCTTGACAGATCGGCGGAGGGCATCAACGCGACGGTCTCCCCCGAAATGAGCTATTTTTCTCCCTAGTTCTTCGGACATTTGCCGACTTCTACTGTTATTTATCTCAATGGAAATGAAATGAATATAGATTACTTACGGTGAACGAGAACTGTCCCAATACGATATTCAGCGTCGCTTCAAACGACGGCTTCCTTGACGAGGATCGATCAATGGCGCCCACGGCCGAAAACTTCATCGACCGACGGATCGTTCTCGAAGGTTCCGTCATCAATTAGAATCTGAGAGAGCTTTGTCCCGATGTTGCCCATAGCGGGGTCTGATGTACATTTTGCGTCGAATTTTCCCACTCTTCCCCTCTTTAACTTAATCTCAGTTGGTTTTTCTGCCTCGGGTCCCTCGCTTCTCGACTCGACCGGATGCTCCGTTCGGGACTCATAGAATTCTATCCGGATCGGACTCCCTGTGTATATAATAGCGCTGGGAAATGTCTAAACCATCGGTAGAATCTCTCGCAATCTTCGAGCTCTTGACAGTCAGATGTCCCTGATGTATTGAAGAAAAATTCGAGAGCTACCGACGATAGTGAGTTTCACTGGCGGGATCCAGAACCCTAAGGGAATTGAGAAATCGATGAGGCTTTGCACTCGATGCATCCCTGATAAGGAAGGCCTGCAATTATTCTAGTCGGAGACAAAGTTTATCCACTTGTGATCAGTATATGCCGCGATTATTTGGTCAATGGGAAATGCATAGAGAGCGGCGCTATCATCAGCTAGGGTAAGGAGAAAGACGAAACCATCGTCGAGTCTGACTCCTCCAGCAGACATCCAACGGGGAACAAATAAATTGGGATTTTCAAGAACTGAAAGAGCTTGTCTTCAATATGTCTCGGTCGCATGGCGCGTGCTGTACCTTCCCCCAGGTTGTGGACGTGGAGCTCAATAAAGGTGAATTCAATTTGTGCAGAATGACTCGCTGGCGGAGGGATGGGGGAAGTATTCAACGTCCCAGGCTCCAGAAGTCTCGGATGGACTGTGCGGAAGTCTCGAGTGAACCACGCGGGGATTCCGAATCGGAGCTGATTTTTGTAATCCGCGATATTGCGTCGTGGAAGACCGTTAGCTCGAAGCGAATTTTCTAGACATTATATTTCATTCCGAAGGCAACCTCAGTCTGCCGTAGTCATCAAAGGCTCCGACGGGTCCCGAGTCGTGGGTGATATATGGAACCATTATCGAATCGGGTTTCGGGCATATCGGGTGAGTGTCGCAGCAAGAGGTCGTCATACTTCATCTTTCGGGTGACATGATTGATTCGCCTTCAATAATTGAAAAAAATAACCTCTTCGAGAGGCATACGCCGCCCCGACTCATAAAAATATCCCTCGCCTGGCTTTTCGAGCCCCGACCCACTTCCTGAGAGTAGATGTTTCCATCGTCCGAAAAACGATTTCCAGCATTCGCCATGATGTAGCTCACAGTCAGCGCCCTCCGTGTCGCAAAACCCTGGGCGACCGTACAGCTCGGTCGCCCGAATTTTTCGTCGAGATCAGGACCGAGTCTTCTCTAGATTGCACTTCTCGCAACACTGCATTCGGAAGAGGGATTCCATATGGAGAAGATTGGCGTTGTTGGCGGGGATGGGACCTATTGCGTAGTGGCCTTAAGTGTCCTCGTCGATTCGATTTCCGAATAGAGCTCATGCAGCAAGGAAAGAGGAGAGAAAAGAAACATCATCCGACGTCGGATCCCGTCCGGATGAGCGAGAGGCTGTCAGCCTTCGGCTCGCTCGGTCCAAGTTGTCGCAAGTCAGCGCCTTGATAGAGGATCACATTTGTCATAGGTGTCCATCTCTACGGGGTGTATGAAGGTCATCTGCAACTCTCTGCCGTCGGTCCGCCAGCTAGAGCTCTGTTGGACTATGATCCGGTGGCATTTTTCAAAAGACGAGCCCATGGAAGAACAATGGCTTCGATCGCACACAGAGACCTCTGTGAAAATCGAAACGTCGACGAACGGGTTAATAGAGAAGTCTGAATGCACACTTAACAGGCGTGAAAGCGTCGAACCCTTTCAAATCAGGTCGGTTTCACGCTCTCTCGCTGACCCCGACGGCCGACATGAATCAACAACGAGCAAGCCACATCTTTAGAAGTCTTCCGATGACTTCTCGCTGCGTCGATGATGAGCCGATCGAGTGGTCCGTTGAGACTTTGACTCGATTGAGGTGGAAGAGAATCCCTCATTAAACTATCTATGTATCACCTGACACAATACTGTCTGAGTCGAATGATTAGCTCGGGACCCGCTCGCTGGGCTAGAGCGTGTGTACTCGCTGATGACTGTCTGTGTGGAGGCGGACGGACGGGAGGACGAGTTAGAAGGTGTTTGGTGGGTGCTACGAGTCGTCCGCGTCGCCTAGGAGGACAACCCTTGCTCAGCCAGAAGTTTTGTTTGTCGCTAGCGACAAAGACGGAGAAAAAAACTATGACTAGATACCATCTGCCTGGTTTTGTAAGCGATCTGAATGCTTCTTCCGTTCTATTGAAACCAAAAGATAGACATAGCCTTGGGCGTTGGGACATCGGTGGGACGTCAGACGGCGATTGAACGACAGCCGGGAACTCGTCCTTCTACCAGACTGTGCGCCTCACTGTTTTGATTGGATATGCCGAACGGGCGGGTCAATACCGTGGGTTCGATTAGGTTCTAGGCTCGGGCTTCCGAAATCTTGACGAGAGGAACAATGAATTGCCGTGTTGCCGGACGCGGACGTCGATTAGTCAAAAAGCGGTATCATCTACCTCGAGAATTTGACAAGCATCCCTCCTCTCGGAAGACACATCATGCTTTTCAGGAATCAGGAATCGTGCGTCGCCGGCACCCGGACTTGGAATTAGATGGAAATCGGCAAGAGAAATATCAGTGGAACAGTACAGGAATAGATTGGTGGATAGGAGATGCAAAAGTGAAAAAATTAACGATACTTGACGGTTGAAAGACCACTTTATAACGATAGCAGCTCTAGGTTCACAACGACGAAATATATTAAAAGGAGATGCATCCTGCATTCGCAGAATAGATGTCGACGTTTGTGAGGTGTTTCAAAGGACACCTACTCCCTTTTTTCGCCATGGCTCACTTATTTTCTCATGAGGAGCATCAACGGGAATAGGTACTAGTTCGATAAATTACAGTGCGACGTCAAAAGTATGGTCTGGCTCTAGTTGGTGAGCTCCGTTTATCTGTTTTCTACTTGGGAACACGATGAGTACATGTATGTACATCTTCTCCGCTGCTCGTACCTCTGCACATCATCTTCCGGACGTCTGGTAGATGGTCGCTCCGCTCGTTTTATCACTTGTTCACTCACTCTTGGCGTATGCACTTCATTCTCCTGGCGAAACGTCACAACGAACTCAATCCGCTCGTGATGCAACCGTCCCGAATATCAAAACCGTGCCACGCGTACCAGTGTGGGCAGCTAGAGCTGAATAATTGTCAGGCGCCCGTTGGTCGAACACGAATTCCGGCGGAACGTAGATGGGCAGGTCAGGGTGACAACCGTTCAGGACACATTCTCGACATCCGAGAGCAGCTGAGCCAGAGCTTGAATGTAACTCTGAGCTATTTGTAAAGTTTCGTACTTGGAAAGCTTCCGGTCGCTCACCGACGGCACGACTTCGCGGAGTTTATCGAAAGCAACATTCAGCTTGTGCATTCTCCGACGTTCTCGGGCGTTCGCAGCCATCCTCCCGTATTGAGTCATCGGAGACTTCTTCTTCTTCTTGCGTTTCTTTCGTCCGCCGATCTCCGGGACCGTGTGCTCGTCCGACCAGGACAGATCCATCCGTCGGCTCAGGATGTCTTGGAGTTGGAGGTCTTTGAGGGGCGAAAGTCGGTCGTCGTCCACGAAATCCCCGCAGTTTTCAAAGTCATCGGAACTCTCGTCGTCGTCGTCATCATCGATGCTGTCCATGAAGTCCAGTCGCGAAGGAGTCAACGACTTCTTCGGCGTCGACGTCAAGGCTTCAAAGTCCTCCATGGTGAGACGATTCCGTTGCAGGCGAAATGTCTATTGCGATGCTGAGCGGGACTGTCCGAAGCGTTCGGCCCGACCGACGTCCACGTCTCGCCGGGTCTGACGTTGAACTCGAGGCGGATTCGACGGCGACGCCGAAAATCAGAAACGGGCGGTCAAATGGGCCGGCGGGCGGGCTGATGATGAGTTGACGCTCCACGGTCGTTGGTCAGGCGTTCTGCTCCTCGAACTTAAGAAGTTTGCATTGTAGGCGAGTCGACGTCGGAATGAAGAAAATCTCGCCAGAAGATCCAGTAGAACAAGAAGGTGGACCTGGTCAGAACCAATAGAAACGTCCGCCTCCGCAGTGCCGCCTTCCTCCGTAGGTGAGAGAGTCACGCTTCATGACGGTGACAACGGCACGTCATGTGGTCAACGGGGGAGTCTTCACCGGCAAAAGGATAGTTCGGATTTTCTTTGCTTGCTCCGCTGTCTCGTACTGGCTGTGAACCGAAGCGCGTGGCTCGTTGAAGATCATCGCCATCTCCGCTGCTGCTGCCGCCGTCGTCGCCAACAACGTCTGTTCACTAATTTTGGGCCCCAGCATTAGTGGGGGAGTTGTTGCGCTCGCCTCGCTCAGGCCTTAAGCGCAGTCCACGACCTTTTTTGATTAGCGCACTCATGTGCATGGCTACGTGTGCATGCAAACACATACCTACGTACGCATTTGCGTTGCTGGTTATCTCGTAGAATTTGACTGAACAAACTGACACTTCCATAGAAATAAAAGCTTTTCAGAATGGAAGAATTCTGTCGCCTGTCTGGAAGATTGGAGCGGGGCGGGATGACGTTTCATCCTCGCACAAGGAGCTCGTTCGAACCATGAGGGGAAAAGTGGTTCATGGTGAGGAGAATTGGCTCTGGACCATTCTCGTTAGCCTCGCATATCTGAGGCACTCACGAGTCATGATCTAGCCGTGACGTTATGGCATAAGTCCTCCAAATTGTCCGCGCGCGCCTAATATTCCTCCAAGTGATCTGGACTACACTGGATTGGACGGTCGAGTCCGACGACGTCGAACTGCTGTTGTCTCTTCTTCTAGTATCTGGAGAGAGTGTGTAAGGAAAGACAAAAAAAAACGTAAGGCCAACGAGCAGCCTAGTCACGTGGAGCACACGCGCGCGCGCGCGTATTCAACAGATGGCACTGTACGATGACAGGTGTATAGCGTTTGAAAGGACGTGCATCCCTGGTCCTGCACAGAAAGCTAACAGCTTTCGGGTTTCGGACTTCAGCGTCGATTGATGAAAACTCGGGAGACGTAAAACTTACGAATCTCTCCGTACAAAGATCGCTGTGCTGTCTCCGAACTGAAGTTCTTTCCACAAGATCGACCCCCTTCGGGGGAACTCCATGTTTCCGTAATTATTCCGCATGGTCTATTTCGAAACCTGAAAAGGGACTTCGGCTCTCCATCTTCAGCTTCGCTTCCGCGAGCGACTTCCTAACGACTCAAAGTTCTAAAACGGAGGGCGCCGGATGTCTCCCTGGGATTTGAGGAGCTACCTAGGGTCCGCCGAGATTCCGTCATTCGACCTTGCCCCTGAAGAGTTGGGAAATCGTATCCCCACATAGAAGAATCATCCCTGGAGCTTAAGCTCCGGCGCGCTTACTCCTGCTGTCGCCGAGGTTAAGAAGTCGGACTGGCGATGGCGTAGATGTCGCGTGGCTTCGGAAGCCATCTGTCGACGTAAAACACAAAACAGGTGACTAGCTCACCGACTGTACTTCCCGTCGTTGGCTCGGCAGCAGTCTACTGCTCGGTTTCAGACTCACCGGCCTCTCAGGCCGTCGAATGAGCTCAGAATCTCCCTAGGTTCTATTTGTCTAAACGTACGTCGTAGCTCTCTTTGGTCCTCATTTGTGTCTATGAGCCGGAGCTTCAACGGTCGGAAGCGTTCTACCGCTGGATGAACTTCAGGATATTCTCAGACTTGGGAGCAAATTCGAACGAGACCCGGGTCGACGAGACCGTGGAAGGGAAGGGCTGAGGGGGATGCAGCGAGAAAAGTGATCAACTGCGGGCCTAACACGGTACTGCAGAGCGGAACAGACAGATGCCTATCTGACGCTTCTCTGTCGACGATGATCGGTTGATGAGCATCGGATGCACAACATATGAGCAATTCATGAGAGCAGCGTCATTCGATACGATGCACTCGATGGTACGCTTCAGCTCAGATAGAATCTCGTCGAGGGCTCCATCGGATGCGAAGCCTTTCACGAAAATCACTCAATCGACCAAGAAGACGCTCCTCGAGAAGAATAGGAAGACTTCGATCGGAACAGATTATCCAAGGACGAGCCGCCACCGCCGCCGCCGCGCCGCCGTCAGCTGCGGGCTGTTCGCTAGCAGTTGAGCATCACTGACGCCAATGTTCGGAGAGAAGAGGAAGAAAAAGACGAACACTGCCACGCTCAATAGAAGTATCGTTTCTTACTTCCGATTCGGCTCATTGAAGAGCAACTTTGAAATCTCATTCATGTCGGCCGCGGCTGCCGCCAAACCACCACCGTCGTCTTCCCACACTTTCGAATTCACATGCATGGACAACAAACACACAGGAACACATTGACATCGTACTCAGCTCTTTCTTTTTTGAGTGCCGCCGCCGGTCATCCTATCCGGTCGGACTCTTGTCCGTCGGACCCGAAGTTACCTCAAGAAAACCACCGACAGGAACTCAAAAACTCGATACTGGAGGTCCGTCCGAATTCGCGTGAAACAGAATTCCGCGTGGTGCGGTCTGCACACATAGGACTCCCGCGCTATTAGTCTGTTGGCCAGCGAGCTAGCATGTCTCGCATAAACTAAAAACTTGGAATGCTCAAACCAGTCGAAACGAGAAAGAATCTGTGGCGCTTAACAGAGCGAGTCCACCGGTGGACCGGGGTCAATTCGCTGCTAGACTCGATCTTCTGGAATCCTTCTCTCATACTCGATTCACGAGTTTTTCACCTTATTCTCCCCTCCGTTCATCTATCATTCCCCTTGATTGCCGTGTGGGATGATATCCGAGTTCGCTAGGCAGTCGAATCTGACCCACGTGCTCGATATTAAGTGATCGAGATCATAATTATACCGACTCCTTTTCGTGGACCCGAGAGACGTCTCGATGTGCACAATCGACGAGACCGCAATGGAGGTTGGCAGGCTGCTCATTGAATGCATTTCACAAAAATCTTCCTGATATAAAAAAACGTCTCTCAACTGCAGCTCAGCAAGCGCCAGCAAATCATTTTTCGTCCACGTTCAGAGTCGGCTCCGGTCTCGCCGGGAAGGCACAACACAATGGACCGCGGAGCGAGTGTGCGCTCGCCACAAAGGTCTTTTCGAGGAAGAAGTCCGAATGTCGAACCGGTGAATTAGACGGAATCGCCACCCCAGTCTTATGTAAACGTTCCGATTTCGGTCACAGGACACCGGGCGCTGGTGCGGATCGTGTCCAGGATGTAGGCTGCCGAAAAATCGAGCGCGAGTCAACGGTCAAGGAAAAAACTGGGCTGTCTCGAGCAACGGATTGAAGAATCCGCCACCGCCGATTATTATTGTCCCATTATCGCACGTCATTTTTCATCTTTGGGACCTGTTTCTGTTTGACCGAATAGGTTGTAACAGGAGCGAGCTACCTGTTTTTACGAAGACAGAGCGGCCCATGCGACGATGACGAAGGTCCGCGAGCCCTGGTCAGAACGTGGGTCGGCGAAAATCGCGCGTAGCGGATTCTCCGCTATGCAACAACCATTAAGTGCAATTTCAGTTTTTACTCAAACTTCACTTATTAGACGACGAACGAACTTGTACGTCAAGATTTGCTTGAATAGAATCTGACAATTATTAATGGTTCTCGGCCAAGGGGCTACGCAAACCTAGCGAGTCTAGCGTCTCGCTTCTCGGCCCGGGTCGGCTCGGGCTCCGAGACGTTTTTCCGGTCGGCGAGGTGCTGCTGTCCCACTGCTGTCTGGACGGGGTGGCTACCGGGTGTTCTGAAGGGTGCATTAAATAAATTGGTCTCGAGTCTACGACCAGTAGATTCCTAATGAAGTTAAGAGTGTTTGTATCGAACACACCTGACTCACTTTCACTCGCTCGCTCGATCGTTTGCTCACATATCTCGCATGATCCCAAGTTCAATTAATGCATGACTCGCGCCGATGCGCCGTTGTCGAGCACTCGCATAACTCCGTTCCGTAATCGAACAAGGGCGGCTCTTCCGAGAATTCCCTTTCGTGGCGAACTTTGACAAATGTTAGATGACTGCGAACCTCGATTCCTAATCCTGCGACATGGGCGCCAGTATTCCCGTTCCCTAAGTATTCGTTGAGATTCGGTCAGAAAACTTCGCCCACAGGGTGCTCAGAGCCGACTCATTAGAGGATAGAGATCACAGGCTAGGGAGGGGATCCCGAAGGGACCTGAAGAAAAAAAAACATTCTCCCCTCATTTTCTGCCTGATTCTGCGAGAGCCGCTTCTGGTGAGTCGTACGGCGACGACGAGAACGCTGCCCAGCTCCCGCAGCTGAGAGAGTCATCGACCAAGAACTGTGACCGGAATCGTTGAAGCTGACGATAACACCGCCGGAGTTTTAATAGATTTCTTCGAGCTAACGATGTCTAACGTTTTGCCAACGCTACCCTCGTCGGTAGCTTTCGGACGGGTCGCTCCGTACACCATAAAGTCCATCCGGCGTGAAGGAGTCGTCGGTTTCCGTTTTCTGCTCGTTCGTAACCAGCCATTAGATCGGTCGCCGTCATCGGGTCCCGGTCGGCGCCGTGCCGTAAGTGAGATACATGCAAACACGAACGCACAGAAATTTTCAGACAGTGGGGAAAAAATCAATGTCGAAGAGGACAACAAGAACAGCCGCCGCGATGACGACGATGACCGCCGCAGACAACATGGATGAGGCTGGCGTGGGAGTTGACACGAATAGGAAGTTGCCGTCAAGTTTTCGACCTTAG